CAACACCTGAGACTCATGGTATTCTGGAGGCATGATGCACAGTTGCAACAAACCTTGACAAAGAAATATGCTCAACTTAGCACCAATATTGTGGAGTGCTTGCCAGGCAGAATTCACAACACCTGAGCCTCATCCCACTGGTGAGCTGGAGGCACCATGCACAGTTGCAAACAAACCTGGGAAATGTGTGTAGCTTGCCAAAGGGATATGTAGCCTGACACCCTGGCAATGGCAAGGGTGGTGGTGATGCCAGAGACCATGGCCATGTTAATGTTGAAGAGGCCAGGGGCAGGCATAGTGAATTCAGGAGCAAGGTTCTGGACTTGCATCAGGTATTGAGCAAATCTCTTTACTGCATATGCATCAGGTACTTTTGTTTTTTGGTTTCAGTGGCCAATGACTGCAGGACACAAGCATGGCCCATGGGGCCACTGGAAGCATTGGAGAGTGGCTTAGGCTGGAGGGCTAGGACAAGCAAGACATGCAACTGTGGTGGAATGAAGCCACCCTGACCTGGATGCATGAGGTCAAGACCACAGGTCTTCAGCAGTTTGCAGTGCAGAGTGGGGAGGGTGTGTAGCAAATGGCAAACGTGTTAGTTTAAACAATCTAGAGTCTGGATAAAGTGATGGCAAAGTCATTGAACTGAAGTGTGAACAAGGAATATGATTGTGTAGACAAACAAGGTCATGGTAGAGGAGCATGGTAGAGGAGCATGGTAGAGGAGCATGCTTACCACTTGAGACTTAAATACAATTGTGGTCATTGTGGTGTGCAATGGCATTGGCTGTGGCAGAGGATACAGGTGAGACTGAGGACAAAGCCACAGACAAGGATGATGCCTTTGACATGCCCTGGAAGGTGGCCACTATCATGGAGCTGGGCCAAAGGGCTTATCTGAGAGAAGATGGTGTGCCTGAGTGGCTTTGGGCCAGAATCCATGAAGTCCTTGGGCTCAAAGCAAGTGCCTTCAAGTTTCTCAGAAACAGTTTGAAAGGGTTGACAGAGTTTTTGCAAAGGGAAGCACAGGTGGACCCTGCAGAGGTCAAATACAACACTGGCAAAACACTTGAGGCAGGCAGGCTGTGGAAGGACCACACCTTAGAGTCTAGAGCATTCTTTGGCCTTGGCTTTTGGATCATGCAAAACAAGCCACTGGCTGAGCCTGTGAAGCTGAAGGCTTTGAAATTGGTCCAGCAGTTGGGGGGGAAAGCCTTAGACCAAGGGCTCAACTCTGGCTCCACCATGGATGGCATGGTGATTGACAGGGAGGGGGTTGTTCATTATGAGTGCCTTCAGCTGGTGCGCCCACATTTTGTGAAAGGCTTGGACAAACTGTGGGCACACTGCCCAGGGGCCATTGCAATGTGGAAGAAGTTGAGAGGTGTTTTGTGGCATGGGCAATGCATTTCCACTGCAATTGAGTTTGCTTCCTTCTCAGACCTTACTTTCTTTGTGGGGTATTTGGCAGCACATCCCACCCAGCACATGAAACAACAAAACATGTGGCTTTGTTGTGGCAAGTTGCTTTTGCCCACATTGTGCAACCAATGTGGATACTGGCTGGATGGCATGGCCACCCAATTGGCCAATGAAGAATTGAGTACACTGCCAATGCTGAAAACAAAGTATGGCAATGTTTGCAAGACCATGGACCCAGTAAATCGCATGCTGTTATTGAAGAAACTGCAGGCAGAGAAGGTCCACAGAAGAAGGGTTGGCAAGACCCATGACCTTCAGCCACTGCAATCCCTATGGGCAAGGCATGAACCATACCTTGACTGTGTATTGCATGCCAGAACCTTGCTTTCTGAGTTCCCATGTGACCCTTTGCAGGTGAGTGTATCTTTTGACCCTGGGAATTATGATGGGAAGCAAATCAGTGCTGGTGTGGCTTACAATGCCAGGGCCAACCAAGCAGCCTACTTACTGAACCAAACACTGGGAAAATTAATGATGTCTGAAGTGGATGACTCATTAATTGAGAAGGCCAAACAAAGGAAATTGACCAGGATCAGTGGGTTCAATGAAATGAGAGGTTTGGATGCCATGCTAGTCCACTCATTGGGGAAAGGAATCAAAGCCTTTGCAGTGCCAGAAGGCCTTCTGGTGAAGCCACTGTTGCCCAATCAAGTGAGGCTAAGAGGAGAAGATGGAATGGTCTACATTTGTCTCAGGTTACCTTCTTTTGATTCGATCATGTGGTGGCTCCAGCTGTTGGTGTTAGTTCCCCCCTTTACTTGCTCGTGCATGTCGTGGAAAAGGCCGAGTTCATCCGTCCCTGCGGCACTTGAGAAACAGACAGTGGTAACCGGAGCACTGGTAGACTATGCCTGATCCAGGGAAAGCCGCGGAGGAGGAAGACGACGACAAGGAGGAGAGCGACAGGCAAGAACGGGGGGGGAGCGACGTCAACGGTGAGAGACAAGATGGAGGGCTACAAGTGGAGCGACGCTGAGTGGGCAGAGTGGAACAGGAGGTGGCAATGGGGTACCAGTTGGCAAACCAGCTGGACGCAGCACACCTCTGGGGAGAAGAAGGATTCAGAGACCGGAGTCACGGGGGTTCCAGCCTCGGCTATGCCTTCTACTGGGGTAGACCACTCAGATCCATGGCAGCGTCCCAATGTGGATCCTTGGTCACGGAGGACCTCTATGTCAGGAGCACCTCATGAATCAGGACGACATGATGGATGGTGGGGCACTCAGACCTATCACAAAGGTGATTACAGTGATCCGCCTTCCTGGTCCGGATGGGGCTACAGATTGTGGCGAAGAGCTGTGATTCGATGGAATGACCACACAGACATCGCTGTCTGGAGACGAGCTGATCGTGTGTTGCGCACCCTGGAGTGGGATCTTCAGGCCAAGTTGGATCACATCTCCGAGGCCACCTTAGCCAGTCCGGCCTTCCTGACGGAGATTCTCGCCGTCCTCGATGTGCTCGCAGGAGAAAAGGCAGATTCGGAGCGCAAGAGAGCAGTTAGAGCGGCTCTCTTCGAGGGTAGTCGACGAGCCGACGAAAGCATCGCGCAATATGCTCTTCGTCGAGAGTCTCAGTTTGAGGTCGCCAGTCGCTACATCACCTTGCCGGACGATGTGAAGGGCATTCTTCTTGAAGAGCAGTCTGGCTTGACGAAACAGGCCATGCAGAATCTCAGGGTGCTGACGAAGGGGCAGCACTCGTACTCGGAAGTGAAGAAGGCACTTCACGTCCTCGATGTTGAAGAAGAGAGCATGATCAAACCAGGCAAGGTCAGCTACTTCGAGGACCTTGCTGAGTATGCGGAGACCGACCTCGAGGACGACGACGACGAGGAGATCTTTCTGGCCATTGAGAACGAGCACGTGGCTGAGGAGGAAGCGGTTGCTCTCCTGGCTGACTTGCAGCAAGACAGGAGAAGAACGTGGAAAGAAAACAAGCTTCTCAAAGCCGCCAGGAGGAAAGATCGCAGACATTTTGACGACAAGAGTTCGAGGCCTGCGAGACCTTTCAATCGGAGACGGATGTCGGTTGAAGAGCTGAAGAAGATCACGTTTTGCGGCAACTGCGGCAAGAAAGGGCACTGGCGTGAGGACTGTTCAGAATCAGTCAAAGACAGCAGTCGTCAGCCAAAGACCAAGACCAATGCTTTTGTGTTTTTGGGCATCTCCGAGGAGGCTAAGAGCTCAGCGGCCTTTTTCCTTGGAGCCTTGTCCGATGCCAAGTCTATGAACGGAGCGTGCTTTCTGGAGCTCAACCCAGGTCAAGCCATAGTCGATCCCGGAGCATCTCAGGATCTCATTGGCCTACCGAGCTTTGAGAAGCTGCAGACAAAACTAGCACGGGTTGGACTTCAAGCCATCAAGTTGGATGAAGCTCCAGGCAAGGCAGCAGGAGTGGGTGGCTCCGCCAAGACACTGTTCATGGCGCTGTCTCCCTGCATCCTGGGTGGACAGCCAGGGATCATCAAGCTGACCGTTGTTGAAGATGACGTGCCACAGCTCCTTTCCATAGGTCTCTTGGAGCATGGTGAGGCGGTCATTGACACCGGCACGGACAAAATTCATTTTAGGAAGTTCGGCACCGAAGCGCGCATGACTCGACTGCCGTCTGGTCATAGGACACTAGACGTGGCCGAGTGGAGCGGTGGAGATTTTCCAATTCCTGAGAAGCTCACCAGGGAGCTGGGACTATGTCCCGGTGCCTTCAATTTGAGCCCCTCTGCGCGTCGAGCATATATGTCCGGGTTTGCGTGCTTTGGAGATCGCAGTCAGCTCTTTCAATTCTTTCAGATTCAGAAGTCACAGGCAGGTGAGGTTCGATGGTTGAGTGAGCATGTTCTCGGTAATTTCGTAGAGTTTCGAGATTTTCCCTCGGATTTCAGTGCTGCACGTTTTCGATCGACATGGTTGGTTCTTGATGGCATGGCATGGCTTCTTGAAAGAAACGCGAGACGCGCAGAACCAGATGTCTGTGATTTCACTTCACATGTCATGGAAGTAACAGACTGCCCACTTGAGTCCGTTGGCAAACATTGGTCAAACTCTAGAATTGTTTCCCTTTTTTCCACCGAGCCTCTACTGCTGATTTTGAGAGATGATGTTTGCTGCAGAGTTGGAGTTGGCCGTCCGAACGCCGTCTCAAGCCAGATTGACGAACGTGACAAGCCCGTCGAACCATCCCATCTTGATCCTTCCGCACATGGCGGCATCCGGACTGATGTCCAACAGAGTGAAGAAGTCTCGCATCAGATCCGAGGCGGACAGCGAAGCCTTGGAGAATCATTGGTATCACTTCACTCGGAAGATGATCATCATGCATGGCGGTCCGAGGGCATTGGAGCGATTGGGCAAGACAATTTATCAGGGCGACTTCACACCTTCCAGGGCCGATGCGAGCGGAGTGATGAAGCTTCCAGCTTGTCAGCATCCCAAGGAATACGAGGTCAAGGGAGCCAACCAGCACGGGACGTGGACCAGGTGCTCTCTGTGTCAGACCAAGACCAGCTATGTGAAGTACAGCAAGGACAACCCTCCTCCTGCAGTACGCAGGAACAAGTCTGCGGCAGTGGAGACCCACGTGAGCGCTCAACCCATGCCGAGGACTCCCATGGCTTCAGGTTCAGCTGCCTCGACGAGTGCACTGATGCCGGATCTGGAGCAACTGCTGCAGGGTCAGACGCAACAGCTGACTCAGAGCACCGCGGCGGTCATGTCTCAGGTGATGTCCCCTGTGGTGGAAGGATTTCATCAAGCCCTGCGCTATCAGGCCGAGGAGATGCAGCGATCTCAGGAACGTCAAGAGACACAGATTCAGCAGCTGTTCCTGGCTCAACAGCGCATCATGAGGCAGACCGATCCTGCCTGTCAGCCGGGTGCTGCCTTTCCGATGATGTCTCAGGAGGAGCTGCACCGGCGAATGGCTCAGAGCTTGGCCATGGCTCAGGGATATCCTCTTCCACCAGACGAGGAGGAGTGGGATCGTGTCTCGGAGAACATGAGCGGTCGCTGAGTGGCGCGGCCGGAGCAAGTTTCACCTCGTGTCAGTCAGCTCGGGCCCTTCAGTGTACAGATTCTAGCCTTCAGAACTGGCTTCTTTTTCCTTGCAATAAGGCTTCTAAGAGGTATCTCGCTCGTAGGGGTTGTCAGGACTGTTTTGTTTGTACTCGGCAGACGGATGAAGGTGACCAGTTGATTTTTCTGGTGAAGGATGCTGAGCTTGTTGACGATCTGGTGTGTGGTGACTACCCTGAGGGCAGAGAAGCCCATTTGACGAAGAAACAGAAGCAGCTGCTGTTGAATTCATTAGAGCGAATTTCCACGGAATTCAGTCATGGGTCAAAGAACCCCGCGGAGAGTACGAGCTCAGAGAAGTCTGACAAGAAATCTCAAGAGCCTGAAGGCCATCAAGAACAGTCACAAGAGTCCCACGACCGTTCAAGAAACCTTCAAGAGCCAGAGAGCCATTCAAGAGTTCGAGAGCATTTTGCTGCCACACTCTCCGAAGGAGAGCGAGAGGATAGAGAAATCATTTCCCGACCGATTCGATCGAGCCGTTCGAACCCACCTAGCTCGTCAGAGCTTAGAGCCCTAGGGTTTACCGACGTTAGACCATGCAGCCATGGAGATGTGATGGAGAAGAGTGCCACTCCTCAAAAAGTGATGGAGCTCTTTTCCCCTCCTCGAGTTTCCATCAAAGCAGTGGCTCAGGGGCTGACCCTCACGGAACCGAGCAACTTTGATCTCACAGAAGGCTGGGATGCATTGAACTATCAACACCGACAAGACATGTGGAAAGTGCTTCGGGAGCAAAAACCCGATGTAGTGATCATGAGCCCAGAGTGTCGGATGTTCAGCCAGCTCATGTCGATCAACCTGAGTCGGATCCCTGTCGAGAAGTTGACGAGAGATCAGATGAGAGCTCTCATTATGTGGAATCTATGTCTTCAGGTGGCTGATTTTCAGCTGCAGAATAGGAGGCATTTCTTTTTGGAGCAACCAGCTGGTGCCTCCTCATGGCAAACGCACGCGGCCCGGTGGCTTCTAGGGCAAAAAGGCGTGCGGTTCTTCAGCTTTGATCAGTGCGAACTGGGACTGCAGGTGAGTGCAGAAGGCCTCTCTAGGAAAACAACATCAGTGGCCACTAGTCACGCTGGCATTGCCTTCCTTCTTTCTCAGTATCAATGCACCCACGGTCATCAACATGTTCACCTGGAAAACGGTCTTCCTAGGCGAGCACAAGTCTACCCAGAGGACATGGTGCAAACTGTGATTGACGGCATTCTAGCAGGTCCAGTGGAGTTCTCCGGCGTGGCAGCCGATGATCACGATCTGATGGATGAAGAGGCTGAAGATCAAGAGGAAGCTGAACCTCAGCCTCGCACCCCAGGCACCTTGCAGAGAGATTCATCTGTTCTCCTGACAGAGGAACAGAAGAAGAAGATACTGCGGATGCACCTCAACATGGGACACCTGTCCAAGGAGCAGATGCTTTCCATGCTTAAGGCAGCAGGTGCTAGAGAAGGCGTCTTGAAGTTTGTCAAGGAGAAGTTCGAATGCACTTATTGCATGAGACAAAGGAAACCCGTGGAGCGACGACACGCGACAATTCCCAGGACCTTTTCCTTCAATCGGATCATTGGGTTGGACTTCTTTTACCTGTCCTTCGGTGGTCGAACCTTCGCATTTCTTAATGCTGTGTGTCATGGAACCAATTTCCAACAGGTTGGCATGTTGAAGAACTATGACGGGGGAGTTCCTTCTTCCAAGGAGACCTGGTCATTGTTTTCGAAAATTTGGATTCAGCCTTTTGGCATACCAGAAACTATGGTGTGTGATGGGGGTTCTGAATTTAAGCAGCACTTTGAACGAGCCGCAGAACAGCAGGGCATTTTGCAGATCATCACGGACGCGGCGTCCCCATGGCAAAATGGGCGTGTGGAGCGCCACGGCGGTTGGGTCAAGGACAGGGCAGAGCTAGAAATCAACTCGGGCCAGACTGTACTCACTGACTCTCACGATCTAGAAGAACTCATTCTCGCCACCGTTTCTTGCAAGAACAGGTGGTACTCCAGAGGTGGCTACAGCCCATGTCAACTTGTTTTTGGCGTCAACCCTCGAGTCCCAACAGAACTTCTTTCTGATGATGCTCTACAGGAACTTGGGTGGGAAGAGATCGAGTGTGATGCCTTTGATCAGGACACGGCTACAGCCGCTTACAATCGATCTCACCAGATTCGTCAAAAGGCAAGGCAGTTGTGCATCGAAGCAGCTTGCAGGGACCGAATCAAATCCAGCATCAAACAGAGAACTCACAAGCAGCGGCAGTGGGCAGTCGGACAGTGGGTCCATGTTTGGAGGAAGTTCCCTGGGACAGGACAAGGGCATCTGACGAGGGCTCGATGGACTGGTCCAGGTGTGGTAGTTCTGCAAGCAGGACACACAGTTTGGGTGTCCATGAGAGCCAGACTGTGGAAGTGCAATAGCGACCAGCTGAGGCCAGCCACTCATCATGAGTCGATAGGAGCAGACATGGCTCGATCAGGTGAGCTGCAAGACCTCATTGCTCAAGGAAGATCGACGAAAGCAGGTGCTGTCGATGTCACGACAGAAGGTACACCAGACGATACAGGTGACGGGAAAGTTCCCTCCATCGAGATTGACAAGCCCATGGTTCAGGAGTCGATTGCTGATGATTTGAGAACAGCTGACACAGCAAAAGACATCGAGTCAGAGGGGCAACATCTTCCCCTCAGACAAGTATCTGTTCCCAGGCCAGTCATTCCAGAAGAAACAGAGGGCTCCGTCGCTGACACCGTGAGTGAAGCCACCGCGGGCTCCAAGAGAAAGTCTCAGCACAGTGATCAGGACTCTGCATCCAACAAGAAAAAGATTGTGGAAGAGACCGTGCCGCGGTTAGATGCACATAGAGTCAAGCGACCAGTAGAAGACCAAGAACAAGCAAATCTTGAGAAGATAGCGCTAAAAACACTCAGAAGGTTGGAGCGCGAAGAGAAGATGAGAAAGATCAGTGAGAGGAAAGAAGCTGTCGCTTCGGCTTCCTCGGAAACACCAAATCAGGAGACTACCTCCTCCAGTTCCAGCATGGCATTACAACAACCGTCCACTGAGACTTCAGCAGATGGCTTCGCACCTCAAGACGCCTTGATGGCGGAATTGACAGAGCAAGGCCTCAGTTTTCTGGAGCTCAAGATTGAGGACTCGTGTCTGATGACCAAGCCTGTCAAAACGAAATCTCAAGAATTTGACATGAAGCTTGCCACGGATGAGGAGAAGAAAGGCTTCAAGGCTTCCGACGAGGCCGAGTGGAAGACCATACTGGACCTGAAGGCAGTCGAGGTGCTAAACCCTGCTGAGTCGAGGAAGGTTCGTCGTGATCATCCGCATCGCATTCTTCCATCTCGGTTTGTCAGAAGAAAGAAGCCTATGCCGGGACTGGGACAGTGGAAATTCAAATCCAGATGGTGTGTGCTAGGTCACTGTGACCCTGACACTGGTTCATATTCGACGTATTCTCCCATGCCTATGACAGAGAGCATCTCTATTTTCTTCCAGTTGTGCACCAACATGGACATGTCTGTCACGTTTTGTGACGTGACACAAGCATTTTGTCAGTCAGAGCCTCTTGATAGACCGGAAGGAGACTTGTATGTTGAAGCTTGCGAGGGCCTAGGTCTTCCAGAAGGCACAGTCATTCGACTGGTGGCTCCAGTGTACGGGCTTGAAGACGCCCCCCTCCGATGGCATCAGACGGTCATCAATTTTCTACGCTCGCTAGGCTTCGAGAGGAGTCTCTTGGAACCATGCTGGTATGTGAGAAGGGATGCCAGACATGAGGTCGAGGCCATGATTCTGGTAGAAGTTGACGACCTGAATGTGGCCGCCAGGAAAGACGTCAAAGATGAACTCCTTTTAGCTCTGAATCAGCGTTTCCGCTTTGGGAAGATGGAATATGATGAGGCAGACTTCGCTGGGAGACACGTTCGAGTTCTTCCTGGAAGAATCGAGATGAACCAGGAGAAGTACATCATCGAGAAACTTCATCCTCTTAAGCTGCCTCTTGGTCGCAAGGGCGACAAGTCAAGCAGACTGAAACCGGATGAGTTTGAAGCTTTTAGATCCATGCTTTACAAGGTCGCATGGGTCGCACACCAGACTAGGCCAGAAGCTGCAGGAGTCGTGAGTATTTTGTCTTCCAGGCTGAAAGAAGGAACCATTGAAGATGTCTCATGCCTGAACAAGCTCATTCAACATCTCAGAAATACTGCACAGCAATCGCTCACCTTGCATCGCTTCAGCAATGATAAGATGATCCTCATTGCCGCCTCAGATGCCGGTGGCGTGGACAGTCTACCTCCTGACAAGTCCTCAGAGATAGACAATGTTCAAGGAGCGTGGATAATCATGGCTGCTGACAGACTTCCTAGCGCGAATCAGAGAATCAAGGTTAGCATTTTGAGCTGGAGATCATCGAAGCTAAGACGGAGAGTCGCATCAACACTTGCCAGTGAAGCGCTAGCCTTTAGTCAGTCACTGAGTGAAGTAGAATGGATTCAGATCATGATTAGAGACATCATCAAAGGTGATGTCAAAAGGACAGACTGGACCGAGTCTCTGACACCATATGTTCCAGTTTTGAAGGAAAACTGCGAATTGGCAGAGAAGTTAGAGCAGTGTCATGTCACGGATGCCAAGAGCCTGTTTGATGCCTTGAAGAAAGAATCTCCCATGTCTAGACAGGACAGACGCACCTCGGTCGAGCTCAGCATAATTTTAGAAGCTCTTCAGAAAGCTAGAAGTGTGATCAGATGGGCTCCTCATCCACGAATGGTAGCCGATGGGCTTACTAAAGCCGATATCACACGCACAAATGGTGCATTAGAAGAACTGCTGCGGACCTCTCGCCTCACCCTCTGGGATGAGAAGCAAGAGCTGAATCTTCGTAAAGATGATCCAGCTGCGAAAGGACGATCGAGAAGAGCGTCCACCAGACACCGTTCGCTGGAGGCCAGTGAAGAGTCCTTCGTTCTTTTGAGTCGAATCAACAAGAACTTAGGGGTGCTGTCTCAGGTTACCTTCTTTTGATTCGATCATGTGGTGGCTCCAGCTGTTGGTGTTAGTTCCCCCCTTTACTTGCTCGTGCATGTCGTGGAAAAGGCCGAGTTCATCCGTCCCTGCGGCGCTTGAGAAACAGACACATTGTAAACACCAAGACTTCTGAGATCAAGCCAGAAGTGGCCCCAGGCATCAACCTGTCACAGTTGAATTGCCTGGTAACAATATCAGACCAGGGGCCACTGAATGTTACCAGCCTCAACTTTCTCATGTTCTCCCAGCATGCACACATGTGTGTGTGCTTGTGGGACCCATACCATAGAGCATGGAATGACATCAAAACAGCAGCAAAAAGAGCAGGAAGATACAGAACCATTCTGGAACTCACATGTTTGTTTAACACAAACTATGGTCCCTACAACTCTTCACAATGGTGGTACAGAAAGAGAGCTGCGCTTGAAGAGTTTTTAGCTTCCACCACAGTGGACTCCAACCACTGGTCTACTTATGAGCCTTTGATCAGCATGGAAAGGAAAATGGCACAACCAACAGATGAAGGTGACAGAGTCGACCTTCTGAACAGCATGGCAGCCATTGGTAACTGTGTGACCAAGGGGCCTTTGGTGAAATTAATGAGGTGGTTCAGCTTCTTCGAGTGCTGTGCCTTTTGGCAAAATGACTTCTATGCCACCAAATGTGTCCTAGAGTCTGAGAGGGGAGAAGAGGTGAAAGAAGAAGAGCCTGAAGACAAAGACCTTGACTGTGGCAATGAGAAAAGTGAGAAAGAAAAGTTAGCAGCACTCAAAAAAAAGGGTTGGCACATACAAGCTGGCACCAAGCTTGATCAGCCCAAGGAATTTAGCCACAAAGGAAATCCTGATGAGTGTGTGCAGGTCAACTTGGGGGACCTTTGCAGAGAGGGCCAGAGGGATCAAGAGTCCTGAAGATATCATGCAAATGAACATCAGATATGTAGGGCAAGGTGCCTGGAAAGATGAGCTAGTTCAGATGGCCCACTGCTCTTTGTCAAGGG